GTTTGAGGGCAGCCTGATCTACATAGCTAATTCCAGGACAGCCAGGACTACAGAGAAATTATCTTGAAAACAAAACAAAACAAAACAAAACAGTTTGAGGGCAGCCTGATCTACATAGCTAATTCCAGGACAGCCAGGACTGCAGAGAAATTATCTTGAAAACAAAACAAAACAAAACAAAACAAAAAAAACAAAATAAAGACCAAAACGGGCTGTGAGCACCCAGGAGACAAGACGTGGGAAGAGTGTTGCCAGTCTGAGGCTAATCTGGTCTACACAGAGAGCTTCAGGCGAGCTAGGGACACACAGCAAGACTGTCAAAAAACATCAGGGAGGACTTGTTTGTTTTTCGAGACAGGGTTTCTCTGTGGCTTTGGAGTCTACCCTGGCACTGGCTCTGTAGACCAGGCTGGCCTCGAATTCACAGACATCCGCCTGCCTTCTGCCTCCTGAGTGCTGGGATTAAAGGAGGCGTGTGCCACCTGGCTAGGGAGGACACTTCTACCTGGAATGGAGGTGCCAGGTCTGGCTGCACTGGGTATTTGAGCAAGCCAGAGTGCAGTGGGAAAGGACAGGGGAAAGCTGCTGGGCTCTCAGTCGGGGAACTGTGTTCTTCAGCTGAGCAAGGAGGGCCCAACCATAAGCTCCACTCTTCAGGTGACAGAAGTGTTTAAGGGTCATCAGGAATCTTTCCTCTCCTCAAGGCCTGTCACGGGTACCGAGGAGACACCCCAACCACCACTGGAGGAAATGAAGGAGCTGGGCTGTTGTAAACACAGGCCCCACCCAAACGGAAGCACCTGTGGTTGGGGGGCCACACCTCTCAACAATTGGGTTCAGATCCCTCAGGGTCCCTGTCCCCTGCAGTCCCTCCTGTTTGGTGTCTCTCCTGGGTGGCTGGCAGGCTCCCAGCTTGGGCGGTGGCCCCGTGACCTGTCCCTGCCCCTTCCTGCGCGCTTTGATGCGGCCCCCTTCCTTTGACAGGAACCCCCTCCCTCAGCAGCCTGCTAAAAGGCAGAGGGCCATGTCGAGGCCGTGGTGCAGCAGGCAGCAGGCAGCAGCGGACTCTTCCCAAGGCCCTGTCTCCCAACCCTTGTACCAGTGCTGCACTTCAGACCCTGGTACAGGCCTGGGGGGCAGGGACTGGGGACCCCAGCAGCGGCAGCTCCAGCTTCTCCCTCCAGGTCTGTCCCCTTGCCACGTATCCCCACCAAGCCCACACCCATACCTACCATCCTGGGGCCCTCTTCCAACACCTTAGATCATCCTTCCCAATCCTCAACACCATCCTGTCCTCCCTGTCTTGGTACAAGGCCCCTTAAAACTGACAGGCACTGCTACAAGCTGTCCAGAAGTAGCTATTTAAGCAGACCGTGGTACTCCAGGTGTCTCACCTGCAAGGTTAGTGTGGGACCCTGTTTTCTCTTTAGCTGCAGGAATACCAGGGGCTCAGCGGGAAAGCCAGACTGCTCACCACCGGGGCACTCTAAGGCCAGGGGCTCCACCTCAGTTAACTTCCTCCCAAGGGACCGGGAATGGGAAGCCAGGGGCCTGCTGCAGCCGGTAATTAGCTGTGTCTATCTGGATGCCAAAGTTTATCAAAGCTCAAAAAATGGAGCTGAGGGGAAGACAGCAGAATACCCCCAGCTCAGAGGACCCCTCACCCATGGGAAAGTACTGGCAATTCCCACCCAGGCCCACGGACAGAGACGCCAAGCCAGTTCTTAAGCTGGAAAATAACTTTATTTGTTCCAGGGAGTTAGCTAGAGTCCTCTCAGAACTTCTGAAACTGCTTCTTGGTGCCAGCAGCCTTAGTGACCTTGAGTACATTGAAGCGCACGGTCTTGCTCAGGGGCCTGCACTCTCCCACGGTGACAATGTCGCCAATCTGTACATCCCTGTGGAGTTAGACAAGAGGGACCTCCTTAGCAATCCCTTTGTCCCCAGTGACACACTGAGGGTGACCGCCTTGGGAAACTGCTTCTTGGTGCCAGCAGCCTTAGTGACCTTGAGTACATTGAAGCGCACGGTCTTGCTCAGGGGCCTGCACTCTCCCACGGTGACAATGTCGCCAATCTGTACATCCCTGTGGAGTTAGACAAGAGGGCCAATCTGTACATCCCTGTTGTCCCCAGTGACACACTGAGGGTGACCGCCTTGGCTCCACCCACATTTGGATTCAGGTGATAACACAAACTATCACCCTTCTTTTGGTTTTTCAAGACAGGGTTTCTCTGTGGCTTTGGAGGCTGTCCTGAAACTCGCTCTTGTAGACCAGGCTGGTCTCTCTCACATGTTTAGCAGTGTCTCCTGCCCACAGCCAGCTGTCTACATATACCCCAGAAACAGCATCCACCACTCTGTTCTGTCCACAGGACACCCCACTTTCTCCCAAAGCCACCCGGTTCAAAATAAGGGCTGACAGCCCCCACCAACAGCCCTTCTAGACACCGGTGTTTTCCCCAGCCTAGCCAGCGACTCCCTGTCCTGTCTCAGATTGGCCCAGGCTACCGAGAGAACCGTGTTCACCTGAAGCACGGGGACAGGTGCACAGACATGTTCTTGTGGCGCTTCTCAAAGCGATTGTACTTTCGGATGTAATGGAGGTAATCCCGACGGATGACAATGGTCCGCTGCATCTTCATCTTGGTCACAACCCCTGGGGGAAGAGGGACGTAGGTGTTAGCAGGCCAAGGGTAATCCAGACTGGAAATCCAGCTGTTGAGTGGGCTCCACCAAAAGCCCCATTTCTGGCATCAGCCTTGCCCCTGGGGATGTCTGAAGACCATCGTGAGAATGGACATCACCTGCCAGTAGGCCTGGACTCAGGGACCTAGAACCATTTTCACCTTCTCACTCACCAGACAGGATCCGACCTCGGATGGAGACGTTACCAGTGAAGGGGCATTTCTTGTCTATGTAGGTGCCCTCGATGGCCTGAAAGGATGAGAAAGTGCGGTTTGGACTACCGGTTCCTAAACTGAACCGAGAATGTAACCTCAGGGGTCCAAACTACAACTCCCAGGAGCCCCAGAGGCAGCAGCTCCAAAAAAGGGCGGGGTGGCAATGCTCCCAAGCATGCAGGGCCACATGCGCCCCATCTGTACCTCCTTGGGAGTCTTGAAGCCTAGACCGATGTTTTTGTAGTACCGAGGGAGTTTTTCCTTGCCAGTTTCTCCCAGAAGAACACGCTTCTTGTTTTGAAAGATTGTCGGCTGCTTTTGGTAAGCACGCTCGGTCTGTAGGGATTAATGATTTGGTGAGATTCCAGGTTAGCTTCCGAGAGGCCAGGGCACCCCTTAACGCCAGCCCTGGAGGGCCAGCGTTCCACCATGAGCCTAAAGAGTCACCCCTACCTAACTTATGAAAGCCACACTGGGCTCCAGCACGTTCCACGGCCTCCACAGTTCCTGCCCCAGGCCACACTTCACCCACTCAGCATTCACGCCGCACGTACACGGAGCTGAGCCCGGTGGGCCAGACCTGTCATCCAGGCATTCCCCCGGCTGAGGCAGGAGGATGACGGGTGCTAGCCCTGTCTGAGCCACCGAGTCATCTAAACCCAGAGCCTGCGTCAAAATTTAGGACTAGAGCAGCGCTTCGCTGGGGAACGCGGCCCGGGGCCGGCCCCCTTTAGGGAAAGGAAACTGCTAAGCGAGCCCCCCGTTTCTGCCTCATCCTGCGGGCCCACAGCACGCTCGCCCTCCCTCCAGCGGCCTCGTGAGCGGGCGGCAGCCCACAGCTCGCACCTGAATGTCCGCCATCTTCCCGGCAGCCTGAGGAAAAGAGAGCGGCCGACTCCCGGGCTTCCTTATGCACCACGCAGGTCTGCAGCGGAAGTGACGCCAGCGCCAGCGCTTTACGGTTTAGGAGGTACTTCCGGCTCAGAGCACGCGATCTCGGGACTGTCCGTACGCCGCCATGGTGATGGAGAGCTATGGGGACAGGAAGCGGAGCCTATCATCTCGCGAGATCTCGAACGGCCGACGGTTCATCCAGGCGGGGAAGGCGCATCCTGTGGTATCGCGAGAGTCGGGGCGGTGGTTGAGATGTGGGAAGTGAGCGGTTGTCAGCCTCGTTTCCGTTTACTAACTCTAAGGGCGCGCCCGCTGGCACCAGTTCTTCACGGAGTCGTCGTCTTGTGGCAGGCAGGCAGGCAGGCAGGCCGGCAGGCCGGCCTCTGTGTAAAAGGCTGTTGTTGAAGTCGCCGCCTCCCTACCTCAGACTACCGGCGTCCAAGCCAGGGGGAGTCACGTTTATTTGCCTGTTGGTTTGGACAGGGCGGGCTCGGGATGGCAGCCCTGCAACGGAGGGGACCATCCTTAAACCAGGACGTGGGAATTTAACGTTTCCAAAATAGAATGACTTTCTTGGTGAATGGTGTTGGAGGTCTTTTATCCCAGCACGCAGCCCCGGGCCACAGTCACTGCCTCGTGAAAGAAACGACTCCATAAACCTCGTGACTTTGAATGTTACATTGTAGTTGTCCCTCCCTGTCCTGCAGTAGCATAAAGGGGAAAGGACTTTAGAAATGTCTTCTGGGGTGTTACAGTTTCACAAAAAGGGTTATCATGGAAGGATCTGACGTGCTAAAAAAATTACCAAGACCTATTTCTATCCAAAAGTGTTATAGTAATATGCCTCCCAACTAGCCCCTAGGAAGCGGAGGGGGCCGATTTGAGGGGACACACACAGACTGATCACTGAACCACTTCTGACATGCGGCTCATAGATCCTTTACCAGCCAACTCATCCCCACCTAAAATTACAATACATTAGCGTGTGGCTTTTCCAGAAAGGTTTTTGTGTCAACAAGTCTGATCAGGCTGAGTCAAGACACTTTTTTTCCTAAACAGGTTGCTTAGCCGTGGCTGTCTGACTTGAGAGGTCGTCTACCTTCCAATCACTGGGATTGAGAGCGTGTGCCACCACATTTCCAGAGGGAATACAACCATCCATATGTATTAGGCCCACTAACAACTCACAGCTCAACAGTGGTACTGGAGGCAGCAATCGGGCCCAATACCTCAATACACATTAAAAGTCCTCACAGGTGATTAAGTGGTGGCACACACCCTTAATGACAACAGTTTTGTTAGCCTGGTCTACAGACAGCCAAAGGTACTAAGAAACGATGTATTGGGGGAAAAAAGGGGCGGGGAGAAGCTCCCGATGGAAGCTGAGTGTGGTATTTATGATAACCACCTGCACCAGCATGTTACACCAGATACCTTTTTTCTCTTACATGGTATAGGGTGGTAGGGAATGGTACAGGGTTCCTGTGAGGACCAGTAGTGCAAAGTTAGATGGTCATATCCACCAAGATTAAGGCCCTCTGGAAAACTCATTCACCACTCCTCCCTTACTGTTATAGTAATATCAGATACAGCTTACACACCACATGCCTTCAACAAAAAAGGGTGAACCATGACCATGAAGTGCAGCCCAATGTGATATTTTTTGCCCATTGGTGCCCCTGCAGAAACAGCAAAGACCAAGTTTAATAGTCAAATACTATTTTGACAGTATAACCCTGCAAAAAAAATAAAGCTGCTTTCTGAAAAGGAGCCAAGGCAGTATATTCTTCCAGTGTTGACTTGTAAATCTCAGCCCAGGTCTCAAGTCTCAGAGCTACATTATATGGCACTGGGTCACTCAGACACTGGAGCATTTGAGTAAAACTCATCACGCAGGTGATAAGCTTTCTAAGTACCCTCTTCCTACTGGAGCAGTGACTAAAGCACCTTTGTCCCCACTCCCCTGGTCGGCGGTGGAGGAAGAGCAGGCCAGGCAGGCATTAGCACAAACAGTCTTTATTGGGCTCACACCAGGAGTCCGTTGGTCTTGAGGACCTCTGTGAACTTGCTTATTTTCTTCTCCACGTTCTTTTCTGCCTGTTTGCGTAGCCTCTGTGAGGTGAAGTAACAAGCGGTGAGTGGCTTTCTCTCCCAGACTACCCTTTCCCGCCCCAGGGCATATGTGAGGGTCCTGTCCTCACCAAGAGCTGCTTCTTCTTCCGATAGTGGACCTTGGCCTTTTCCTTGCGTTTCTCCTCCAGCGTGGCTGTCACTGCCTGGTATTTCCACCCGACCTCATGAGCCAGGCGCCCCAGGTAGGCAAACTGCAGGGGCACAAGGCTGTAAGGACATGGGTGTCCCGGCAGCACAAGGGTGAGCTAAAGGACCCTAGAGGTTCTCTTAAAGGACATATCCCCCTATACAGGAGCCCCTACTGGCATCAGCTGAGCCTGTGGCATTATCGGCACTGCCAATCGGTGGCATCCGAAGACCATCGTGAGAAAAAAAAACATCATCTGCCAGTCTACAGGTCCCACCTAGACCACTCTGCAACTTTAAGCTTACCTTTCTAGTAGGCTTCAGCCGCACAACCTTGAGGGCGGCAGGGACCACCATCCGTTTTTTCTGTTAGAGAAGGAGAAGGGCTCAGAGACCTTTTGTGAGCATCACCTGGGAAGGAGGCTGGTGGGGCAGGCGTCTCAGCTAGTGGCGTTTTCATGAGGCTCAAACAATGTAGGTAATAGCAGAACATCACAGACGCTGGACACAGGCTGTGGAAAGCTAGGCTTGCGCTGCTCACCTTGTCATAGGGAGGAGGGATCCCATCCAACACCTTGAGGCGTTCCAAGGCAGCCTGGCCTCGCTTAGTCTTGTGGGGCAGCATGCCTGTGGGAAGAACAGGACTCCCTTCAGAGGGGCTGAAAAGCGCTCTTAGCCCAGATCTGGGAGCCCACCCAGCCTCAGATGGTAGTGCATGTAGAGTTGTCTCATAGTTGGGAAACTCGAACACCAGTGGGAGATCGCTTCATCATAGGCTGCCAGATTCCCCATTCTCCATGGCACCCACAGGCCCAACTCACCTCGTACAGTGCGCCAAAAAATGCGGCTCGGGGCTCGGAAGTGGTAGGGGCCTCGAGAGGGGTTGGTGTTCATCCGCTTTCGGAGGAAAGCCAGGTACTTTACTGTCAAGAAGAAAAGTGGATGAGGTCGAGTCTACACCAAGGACCTGCTTGTCCAGAACTTAGGTCAGCACCCCACCTAGAGATGATGCCCTGGGCCCTCACTCACACTTGTTTCTGTAAAAGTTTCCAGAAATGTTGATGCCTTCACAGCGCACAACGACTACCTTCCGGCCTAGAGAGAACATGGGTTGTGAAGACAGCCAGTAAAGTCACCCCTAAACACCCAGAAAAACCACATCCTAGATGAAGTGCAAACCTCCTGCTCCAAAACCACTTGAACCAGGAAGGAGTCCAGGAGGGACCGTCAAGTCTCAGAGCGGTGCATGGGTTGATCTCACAGTCGTGAGACTCAAACGAAAGATGGTGATTGTTGCTCATCACTGACTTGCAGGCAAACAGAAATTCTGAATGAAACTTACCCAGTAGCACTTGCTTTGCCACAATGGCCGCCAGGCGGCCCAGAAGATGGCCTCTGCCATCCAACACTAGAACCTGTGGGAGACAAAAGGCTTAGGAAGCAGTCTGGCTCTCTCTACCAAGTTACCAACCACTCATGCCAGTGCCCTTCCCCACAGGATGACTTATCAAGCAGATAAGGTGCCCCAAAGGGGTACAACAAACCAAGAGAAAGCCCAAGGCTGCCCCAGCAGCACGTGAGAAGGGTTCAAGTGCCTGCAATCTTAACTGAGCCTCATCTCGTTGTCATGCAAAGACTCAAATGGCTGGAAAACTGCAATCTACTACTTCTTGTGCAAGCAGCCAGCCTTTAACAAAATCCCATGCTAAGACTTCGTTTTGGGTAAGTTTAGGCCACGGTGGCTCTGCATCATAGTCTCAACTCGCTCACAAGGAACAGAAACCATACCAATAGTATAAAGCAAAACCCAATAATTCACTATATAATGGCTGCCCTGTCTAGTTTGTAATTCTGGAAAGCAGCAGTCTTCAAGTCTCACACCTGGTGGCTGGCATGTGCTTGTAACCCGGCCCAAACGACAAGAGACGGGCAGAGATCCTCCAAGCATTTTTTAAGAAGAAAAAATACCCCAGCAAAGGTGATTTCGATTACTGAATAGCCTCAAAATCCCGATGCTTCTCACTAATTCATCCCGTAACACTTAAAGACTTTGAAAGCACCCTTAGGACTGACAGAAGCTACAGAAACCGGCACGCTTGAGTCCCGAAACCAGGAGTCTCTAACTCAGCAGCTTCGCATCAGAAGCGCAGCAGCGAGCGGCCCCGAGCTCCCCGCGTTCCAAGTGTCTGAGAGACGGACCTCTCAAGGTTGCTAGCGGGTGTCGGGGCCCCAAGCCCCACTCCCGTCTCCCCGGGAAACACGTAGCGTTCCGTCGCCCCATACCTAAAGACATGCGCGGCTCGCTATGCCCACGTTACACTGCCCTCGCGTCAAAACGTTCTTCCTTTGCTCAACTGCGTCCTTAAGTCCCACTGCACACGCCGAGCGGAGCGGAGGCCCCTTCCGCTCCGGCCTGGCGCCCGCCCGACCCCCCACACCTCCCGGCGCGCGCAGAGCCCGACCTGTCCCTCCGCCATCTTCGGCAGCCGCCTGGGAAAGGAGGAGGTCTTGGCGCAGGGTTTCTTATCCCTTGCCGCAGGGGCGGAGGAAGTGACGCAACCCGGGACGAACGGAAGGCTTTCTGTCTTTTCATTGGTTGAAGCGGTGTGCATGCGCACACTGGACGGTGGGTCATCTTTATATGGTCCAATCACGGACTGGTTTGAGCTGGACCTTCGCGGCCATGACTGTGTGGGGCGGGAGGTCACGTGGGTCCCGAGGCGGCTTCGGCGGGGGGGGGGGCGGCCATATTTGGAGGGAGCGCTGTTCGCTCCCGTATCCGCTGTGCGCGGCGCCATTACTCCCTCAAGGACCGGCGGCTGCGGAGCGCGCGGTGGCCGCCAGGGGGCGAGCGTAAGTCCCGGCCGGTCTCGCAGTGTCCGCGTCCCCTCCCTTCAACCTCATGGTGTGCGGACAACTGATGGCCTTTCTTGAATCTAGGAGTTTCCGAATGTTAAACCGGTGGAGGTAGTCACCCCAGAAGGAAGAGACGGTGGGAGGAAGGACTTGCAGGGTCCTGGGCCGCAGACACGTGCTTCTGTTGCAATGGCCTTTGTATCGGCTAAGCATGCCATCTGAGATACCCTCCCTGAGGGGTACCTATACCTCCCACAACAAAACACAGATTGGGCCGTCTCACTGACTCACTTTCTCTAGAGAACCTCCCCAAACTCCCCAGCCTGACTCGATTCCTCCTGGAGGCTCCAGCACTTTGTTTTCCTGCCACTTGGTGGCTTTATGATCTTGCTTCTGCCTCACATCGGGGTTCTGTTAGAGAGAGCATCACCCAGTGCTGACCCTGGGCCATTGGTGGCCTCAGAAAACAAACCTGTTGTCGTGGTTTTGGCTTCTGACATAGTATTTCTGCAATCCTGGCTGGCCTTAAACTTGAGATCCTGCCTCAGCTTCTGGGGAGGTGGGATTACATGACCAAGCCCCGCAAAACCAAGATCCTGAGACCTAAAGCAGCCCACCCACTCCCTGTCCCGTCCACAGATAGGTCCGGAAGATCTGGTAAAAACCATTTATATACAAATTCATGGGAGCAAGGAGTTTGTACAGAGTGGGGTGAGTGGGGCTGGGTCCTGATGTTGACTTCATCCTGGGGAGAGGGCTGGAGGGGCAGCAAGGTCCAAGAAGGGGCCAGGCTCTACCCAACTTTCCCTGTGTCCAGGTTGTGCAACATCTGTCAGGTGACGCCTGCTTGGCCTCAGTATCCTCCTCTGTAAAACTGGATCATCAATGGTCTGTCTGAAGACTGGAGTTCTCAGCACCCTTCAAGCCCTCTACCACTGAGCTTACACCCTCCCACCTCTCCCTGCCCCTCCCTACACCCACCCCACCCCCCTTTAGGCTAGCCTCGAATTTCTGTGTATTAGTAGATAACCCAGAATCCTGACCCTTCTGCCTCCCCTCCAGGGTGTAGGAACTCGGACTTGCACCACAAAATCTACTCCAAGTTTTTTGTTTTTGTTTTTTCCGAAGGGAGTCTTACAGCCAGGTGTGGTGACACACACCTTTAATCCTATGGCTGAGGAAGCAGAGGCTGGTGGATCTCTTGAGTTCCAAGCCAGCCTGATCTACACAGCAGTTCCAAATCAGATAGGACTACAAGAGACCCTGTCTCAAAACAAACAAACAAATAAACAAATCATGGCCCTCAAACTGGCTTAAAGGATAAAAGGCCTCGGCCACCAAGCCTGAAGGCCTGAGTTCCATCCCTGGGGCCCACTGGTAGAAGGAGAGCATGACCAACTCCTGCCAGTTGTCCTGTGACTTGTACACAGGCACCATGGTACACTTACACAGCCCCTATGTGTAATAATTTTTATTTGTTTGGGGAGGGTTGAGTGTAAATTTTTCAAAAGAGGAATTACTGTCTGGTGTGATAGTACATACCTGTGATCCCAGCACTCCAGAGGTAGAGGCAGGAGAATGGATTACCCAGGAGTTCCAGGCCATCTGAGCTACAGAGACACTAGTTCAAAAAATAATAAATAAATAGGATTGGGATTATAAATATGTACCACTATGTCTGATAAGTGGTGTGCATTTCAGAAACATGCCCAGAAAATGGGAAACCACAAAATTTAGAAACTTCCAGCTTGTTTTAACTAAGCCGACGGCGGGTCTAATTTGGCAGTGTAAATATTAAGTGCAGATGAAGTGTTTCTAGTGACTGTGTGGTGGCAGGTGGAAGCCAGAGCCTTATTTGTGCAAGGGCCCTGCCATCAGCTCCAGCTCAGCATTTCAATTTCTCACTGTTATTTTGAGAAATATCTCTAAATTGTCCAGGCTGGCCTTGACATTTGATTCCTCTGGAATAGATTCCAGGCATGCAGCACCATACCCAGAGCTGGGCTGACAGGAGAACCGCCCAGGGCTACAATGCTCTTCTCTCTCCCTTGTTCTTTCTCTACGTCAGTGTGCTCCAGCCTCAGAAGTGCTGGAACTGCAGATACTCATCACCATGCTTGGACATCATGTCCTCTGGGCAGGGGATGCAGCTGAGCAGCACAGTGTTTGTCTAGCCTGTTCCTTGTTTTGATCCCTACCTCTAGCATCCAGAAAACAATGAAAAAAGAAAAAGAAAAGCCTCATCTATAACATGTCTATAGGCCCAGCTATTTGGAAAGCTGGGACAGGAAGATTCATGGAGGTGTTCAAAGTCATTTTGGGCAACATACTGACTGAGCCATTGCAAAAAAAATAAGTGTCACTGAACTGAGTGTTTGTTTGTTTGTTTATTTGAGACAGGAGACAAGGGTGCACTGTGTATCTCACAATGGCCTTGAACTCACTGTGTAGCCCAGGCTGGTCAGACCTTTCAGCAGTCCTCCTGCTCTGGCCTCTCAAGTGCTGGGATTACAGGTTTAACCTCTACATTATGCGTATTATGAGTGTAAAACACACAATTCTAAAATATGGGCACCTGTAGTGGGGACCGGCCTTCTCGCCTTCTTCCCTGCCTCCTGTTTATTCTCCCCACACTACTCTTCCTTCACAGCCTTCCAAGGCTCTCTGCTGCCGTGTGTGGTGGCAGCTTCAGAACCCCCTGAGCTTTGTCACACTGGAAGCTTATCAAAGGCTGCTCTTCCCCCTGACACACACCACGTCCCTGAATGGCTGCCCCTCCTATGAAACAGTGAGACACCCCATCCCTTTGGACTGACCCTCTTCCCCTGAACCTGACCATTCCCTGCTCCAGGATAAGACTCACCGAGATAAGACCCTGGCTGAGTCAACGCTGCTGCCCAAGTGTCATATCCTAGGGATGGGAGGTGAGGGGCACCTGAGGCCCCCCCAAGGTCAGCCTCCGTACACTTGCAAGGCCATCTGCCACCCTCATCCCTTGCCACCCACTCCATCCATCTGCCCTGGACTCTCTGCTCACCCCAGGTCGGAGCACTGCCCTCCTTCTTGCCCTTTGCCAGCGAAGGCCCCAGGCAGCTGCCAGCAGCACAAGTGTGAGAGGCAGCAGCAGCAGGAGCAACAGCTGGCTGGGCTGAGGCTCTGGAAGTGCTGTGGCTTCTAGGGCTACAGGACTCCTTGGGGGCAGCAGGGTAGAGGAGTCTGGGGAGAGAGCAGAACCAGGTAACTGAGGGGGATCATCGGAGCAAACACTGACAGTCCTGGGGGACCATGGGTGATGGTGCATGAAGGGCTTGCAAACAACCAAAACCAAAGCCTGGGGCAGGGATGGGATAAAACAGGCCTGGCAGCACATGCCTTTAATCCAGCACTCTAGAGACAAAAGACAAAAGAAAACCGTTACCCAGAAACCTGTGGCTCACTCAGTTTCCCTTCCTAGTGGATAGGACTGCTCTAGGCAGACAGACTGGAAGTTGTCTTCTCAACAATAGGTAAACTGAGGTCATAAAAAGGCATGTCCCACCTCTCCCCAAGGATCTATGGCAGTAAGAGACATTTTGTTTAGTAGTGTAGCCATTGGTAGGGTGCCCTGTAAATAACTTCTCAAGCAGGTTTCCTGTAGTCAACCTACCTCATTGACTTAAAAAAATAGAAGAGGGACTAGTTGGAAAAAGGAATGGAATCAGTGAGACAGGGAGACAGGAGAAAGTAATGAATATAATAAAAATGTATACATGTATGAAAATGTCATGAGACACATTATTTGTTGTGAAATAGAATATTTGTTTAGAGCCAGGCAGTCGTGGCACATGCCTTTAATCCCAGCTCTCAGGAGGCAGATCTCTGTTAGTTTGAGGCCAGCCTGGTCTACAGAGCGAGTTCCTGGACAGCCTCCAAAGCTACACAGAATACACAGAGAAACCCTGTCTTGAGAAAAGAAAAAGAATGTTTAATTGTGTTACATTTATTTGTGTTGCAGAATAATTGTTTAGCTATGTAAAGATGTTACTTTTGTTGATGCTGCATTTATTTAACCTTGTGAAGGTGTGTTACATTTGTTAATGCTGCCTTTGCTAACAATGTAAACATGTATTATATTTGTTTGTGCTGTATTTGTTTAATTATGTAAAGATGTGCTGCTGTTTCACCTTGCCTGTCTAGGCACCTGCTTGGTCTAATAAAAAACTGAATGGCCAATAGCTAGTCAGAGGAGGGAAAGGCAAGGCTGGTAGGCAGAGAGAAAAGGGGAGCCAGCCATCCTGGGGTCAGCAATCAGACACAGGACAGTACACACAGATGAGGAAAACAAGCCTCAGGGCAGCATACAGATTAATAGAAATGGGTTGCTTTAAATTAGAAAACGAAAGCTACTTAGAAACAAGCCTAAGCTAAGACTGAGCTTTCATAGTTAATACGTTTCTGTGTCTTTATTTGAGAGCTGGTTGGTGGCCCAAAGACAAAGCCTGCTACAATTATTTATAATGAATGTGAAAAAAGAATAAGGTGTGAAGCCAGATGTGGTGGCTTCACACCTGCAATGGCTTTGAGTCCAAGACCAGACCAGCCCACATGAGGCCCTATCTCAAAAAAAAAAAAAAAAAAAAAAAAAAAAAAAAAAAAAGGGGTGGGAGAGATGGATCAGCAGTTAAACTCACTCGATGCCCTTGCATTGGACCTGGTTTCACTTCTCAGCACCTGTGTGGTGGTTCACAGCTACCTGTAATTCCAGTCCAGGGGATCTGATGCCCTCTTCTAGCCTCTTACGGCACCAGACACACACATTCAGTGTAAAACACTTATACACATAAAAGTTAATTTAAAAAAGTCAGGTGGTGGTGGCACACGCCTTTAATCCCAGCACTTGGGAGACAGAGGCAGGCAGATCTCAGTGAGTTTGAGGCCAGCCAGAGTGAGTTCCATGACAACCAGGGCTACACAGTGAAACTCCTCCGTCCCAAAAAACAAAAAGGAGGAGGAGAAGGAGAAGAAGGAGAAGGAGAAGAAGGAGGAGGAGGAGAAGGAGAAGAAGAAGAAGAAGAAGAAGGAGAAGGAGAAGGAGAAGGAGAAGGAGGAGAAGAAGAGAAGGAAGAAAGAAAGAAAGAAAGAAAGAAAGAAAGGAGAAAGAAGTTGTTTCAAGTCTAAGTCCCAGCTACTGGAAGCAGAAGCCTCTAGGACACACAGTAGGCAAGGCTGTGGGCTGTGAGCCAGGTGGCACTGGGGGATGCTGGGCTCTGGCGCTGCTGTTACCCGGCTGGCACTGCACCTCCAGGCACCGAGAGAAATTCTGGCAGGCCTTCCCCATACACGGCTTCAGAGCCAACAGCTGTGTGCAGGTGTCCTGCAGGAGGTGGGAGATGTTGGTCTGGACGAAGCGAAGGCACTCTGGGAGAGGCTGGGAGCAGGGAGGGGTAGATCACTATCATGTCACACCAGTGTCGCCACCAACCTAGCCCCCAAACCTGCAGAGGACACAGAGCCAGTGCCCGGGTCTCAAAGACTCCAGGGCTCCCCGGTTGTTAGAGGAGAGAGCCCCTTAGTAACGGCCTTCTTCACCTACTGAGGCACCGACCCAGTAACAGGGTCCCAGGCTTGGAGGTTCCAGCTCTACCACTGCGGTATGCTGTGGGCAAAAGAGCCCCGCAAAGACCTAGCAGAGTTACCAAGTTCCATTGCTAACCCGGAAGGCACACGAGGTGACGAAATGTATCTCCGTGTTGACAACCTCCAGGAGCTTTTGCATTTCAGACCCTGCCACAGTCTTCAGTCGCTCCATCCAGCGCTGGGCCAGGAAGAGGCTCCATAAAGCCTTGCAGTGTTTCTCCTGCAGACCAAGAGGCCAAGCCAAGTCACAGGGAGGAGGAGCGGGTCCAGAGGACTAGCAGGGGATGGGCGAGCCTCAAGGGTGATGGCTGAGAGGAATGGGTGGGCCCAGATGACTGATGAGGGCGGGGCTAAGTGTCTGAAGAAGATGGACGTGGCCTGATGCCTAAGGTAGGTTGGGCGGGACCAGGGTCCTGAAAGAGGTGGGGCCTTGCTAGAGACCAGAAGGGTGAGAACTGTGGCCAAACCCCTGAGGTGGGACCTGGCCAGATACCAAGGGAGAGAAGTGGCAGGGCTACAGGTCTGAAGACCCCTGATGGAAGGGCGGAGTCGGGCCTGAGAGGGTGGGGTCCAGGACACCTAAGGGAGAAATGAACAGTGAGGGCAGTCTTGAGAGCTTGACGGAGGGAGAATGGCAGGCCAGACTTCTGAAAGACTGAGCTAGGTCTGCTGGGTCTGGTGGGGGCGGGGCGAGGGTCTAGATCGCCAGGTCTGATGGAGCAGGAGGTGGCCCACTAGCCTTGACCCTTAAAGGGTAGTGCGTCTCGAGGCCGGTTCCCACCTCCATCCCAGGGCCCTCCCTTCTGTGACTCACGTCCTGAAGATTGATGGCCACAGTGACTGGGTAATCTTTAAGCAGGTAGTCAGTCTATGGGAGAAAACAAGCTGAGGTCTGACTGAAAGCAGGAGACAAATTATAGTCAGAGGAGTTGGGAACAGACCCTGAGACAAGGGCACACAGACACAGAAAAAGGAAGAAAGGACCTACAGAGAAGACAGTGGGCAAGAGACCCCCAGAGAGAGGTGTCCAGAGAGAGGGATGGAGAGGAGCATGGACGCAGAAACAGAGAGAGACCTAGAGAGGAACAGTAGAGCAAGGACTCAGTGAGAGAGACAGTGACAGAGACCCACACAGAGAGATCCAGAGACAGTGAGAGCAACCCAGGGAGGGAAAGGAACAGAGACCCCATAGAGAAACACAGAGATAAGGCCAAGGTGGAGGGTAGGGGCCCAGCACGGTGGCCTGGCCAGGGTGGGAGCCGGCTCACCAACTCGCTGATCCTCACGTGGAAGTTGGAGGAGATAGGACTGTGGCTGAAGTAACAGTCAGGCGTCCCCCGCAGGCAAGGACTCAGCAGCAGCAACAGCAGCAGCAGAGAGGACTACAGGGAGGCAGTGTCAGCATCTGACTTCCAGGCAGGGGCTCCCTGTATCCTGCTTCCTTTCTTAACTGGGAGTTATCTTCCCTTCTCTGCCTGTCCTACTCCTTGGCTGCTGTGACAAACCTGTGTCCATACTTCTCCACCTCATCCCGCACCACCCCTCTCTTCTGACTCTGCCCTGGCTCTACCCCCCACGCCTCCATCGCCCCAGGTATACGCACATTTGGGTTCCAGGCTGGCACCAGCACTGTCATCTCGGCCGGGGACCCCTCATGCCTGTGGCAGGGTCTTGGAAGGGACAGAAGGGCAGGCCTCGCACCCTGCAGCCCCTTCCCTGCTCGCCCCTTTACCCCACCCCGCCCTGCCGCCTTTGATGTGGGTGCGTTTCCGCCTTCTGCTCCCTCAGGCTTCCTGCATGAGCCCCAGTTACAGTGAAAAGTCATCTCCCCTTCTAAGAACCCCGACAGACGGTCCCGTCCCCAGAATCCTCCCCAGGCCTCGCACCCTGCTCCCTGGGCCCGGGAGTGGGGACCCTGGGCCCGCCCCTCGGGGACCTGGAAAGCCATTCACCCCACGCACCAGGCTTGCCCCAGCTGGGTGTGGAACGATCAAGCTGGGTGACAGCCAAAGACCGAAAGTGAAACGGAGCTTTGGGGTAGACAGTGCAAGGGGTGAGTTCGTGCCCGGGAAGGACGCGCCACCTAGTGGTAACAAGTGACGCGACCACAGGCCTCTTCTAGGACAGCTTATGGACAGCTAAGGTTACAACCAGGCCTTCCAAATTGGAAGTGTATATAGAATCTGACCAGTGCCCATCACATCAGCTACCCCCATACTGGCCTTGCCTCCACCATCTCCCACAAAGAATGACATGGCGGCCTTTCTGAGTTCCCTACTGCCTGTCCTCCAGCTGCTCCCAGGGGCACAGAACTTGTGAACCTGTCAGCCGAGTCCCTCCAGTCTTCTGGGTTCTTGATTCTTTTGAGATAAAAGTCTAGGCTTCAGAGGGGAGGTGGTGATGGTGCAGACTGGTCAACCCAGCTACCAAGAAGCCTTGGAGGCAGGAGGACTGAAGATTGGAGGCTGGATACAGTGTGAGTTCAAGGCTGACCTGGGCAATGTACTAAGACCGTTTCAAAAAATAAAGAGGGACAGACACACAGTTCAGTTGGAGAGCAGCTAGTGAGTCAGTGGCAGAGTACTTGTCCAGCGTGCTGCAGGCCCTTGACTCCTTCCAGTCCCGTCTCACCCCTCCAGATTCTCCAGATTGGCAGTATTTGACCCTGTGCTATCCTAACCCCTCCCTGCTAACCTCATGCTACGTTCCTTTCCAACACTAGCCATCCTTGGTGTGTGTGAGGTGGGTATACTCTTTCCCCAAAGCCTTTGCTCTGGCTATTTCCTCACTGTGGGGAGCACCCTTCCCTTCCAGATACCTATGTCCTCTCCCATCTCATCCAAGGCAGAGGCTTCACAACACCCTCTTCCAAGTCACACCCCTTGCAGCACGGGAGTCACCCTGCTTTGTTCTTATCAGCACTGAACACACCCTGTGGCTTACTTATCTTCCCCATTGTCTTGGTCTCTGCAGTGGCTGTTTCCGCCCTGCAAAGCCCTTGCTCGGAGGACTATACCTGCCTGGCTGCAGCATCAGCTACACAGATGTGTGTCTGACCAGTGTTTGCCAGGCCCTGTCTGGGTTTGCTTTTGGTTTCTGGGAATTCCCAAGAATGGGGAGTGCTGTTGTTTATTGGGGCTGGTCCCAGACTGCATCTGAGTTCCCACTGAGGCAATTCAGAAAGAAGCAGGCTGTGCCCAAAAGACCAAGAATGGAGACTATGGTACAGTGGATGCAGGACTGGGAGTTCAGGTTAGCCTTGGCTGCATAAGACCCTGTTTCAAAACAAGCAGGGCAGAGCGATACCACCTTTAGTCCCGGCACCCAGGAGAGGTGGAGGCAAATACATCTCTGAGTTCAAGGCCAGCCTGGTCTACACAGCAAGCTCCAGACTTGCCTAGACTATGTGGTGAGACCCTGTCTCAAGAATATAAGACAAGGGGGCTGGAGAGATGGCTCAGGGGTTAAGAGCACTGCCCGTTCTTCCAGAGGTCCTGAGTTCAATTCCCAGCAACCACATGGTAGCTCCCAACCATCTGTAAGGTAGTCTGGTGCCCTCTTCTGGTCTGCAGGGACACATGCAGGCAAAAGGCTGTATACATAATAAGTAAATCTTAAAAAAAAAGAATATAACAGTTTTTTTTTAAAAAATGGCATCATTGCCGGGCATTGGTGACGCACGCCTTTAATCCCAGCACTCAGGAGACAGAGGCAGGCGGATCTCTGTGAGTTCGAGGCCAGCCTGGTCTCCAGAGCGAGTGCCAGGAAGAGAAACCCTGTCTCGGAAAAAAAAAAAAATTGCAAGTTCAAGCCAAGCCTGAGTTACATGGTGAGTTTAAGGCCAATTTGGGCTACAGAACAATTTGGGTTGATAGAATTGATAAGTGGGTAAAGGTGTTTTCCACCAAGTCTGATGACCCAAATGGTAAAAGGAGAACAGACTCCCACAAGCTGTCCTCTAACCTCCAGAAGAGTACCGTGGTGCCTGGCAGGAGGCAGAGTCAGGCGGATCTCTGTGAGTTCGAGGCCTGCCTGGTCTACAGAGCAAGTTCTAGGGCAGCTAGGATTGCTACACAAGAGAAACCCTGTCTTGAAAACAAAAAGAGTAAATAAATAATAGAACACACACACACATACACAAACATGATGGGCACAGTGGCTCACACTTGCAATCCCACTGATTGCAGTGCCAGTTTGAGTGACAACTCAGCTACCTATTGGAAGATTCAGGGACTCTGCCTATCTGCCAGGACCCCAGTATGAATTCTGAACACTACAAAAGTCCTCTCCTGTGTTTCAGCCTAGCTTGGGCTACATGAGACACTGTCTCAAAAAGCCAGGTTATGATGATGATGATGATGATGCTAGTCTCAGCCTCCAAGACTCCCAGTCTTTCCAACAAAAGCCCCCAACCTGGACCACAGTCCACAGTCCCAGAGATGATGTGGGACCTCTGCAGCCTCTTTCTCACCATTCTTTGTTTCTACCTCTGTGATCTGGGACAATTCGTCGTGTTAGCTTCCTGGTCATTTAACAAGAGATTACAAATTCAGTGGAAACAACAGCTTATCCCCAGCCAGACAGTGGTGACACACACCTTTAACCACAGCACTCAAGAGGCAGAGGCAGAGGCAGATGAATCTCTGAGTTTGAAGTCAGTCTGGTATACAGAGTGAGTTCCAAGACCACTAGGGCTACCCAGAGAAACATTGTCTTGAAGGGGGGAAAAGTTTATTCCTGTTAAGTCTGAAGGTTGGAAGTCCCAACTGGCTCTCTCTGCAGGACCCAGCGGAGAAGAGCTTTGGTACTGCAGCTCCTGGCATGCTTGGTTTTGTGCCAGCTCCCCCCTCTGACCTCTACTCTCCTCACCCCTCTGCACATGCCTCTGATGTGTCTTCTCTGTGAGTCACAGGTTGCTTGTTCTTGGATTTAGGGTGAACTTAGGTAATGTATGGTGATCTCACCTCAAGATCCTGGGGCTGTAGACAGTACAGGGCTTGGCTAGCATGCACGAAACCCTGGATTCCATCTCCAGCATGGCAGAAACCAGGCTGGGCACAGTACACCTGTAATCCCAGCAAAACCATCCTTCACTGAGACTGAAGCCAGTCTGGGTCTTCCAAAACAATCAGTCATCAGTCTCTAGATCCCATCTGCCCATTTGTGCTCCCCTGTGCTCTGCACCCCACTGCTGCTGCAGACTGTGGGCTGCGAAGGCCATGGTTAGCTTGTTGAGCAGTGTTGTTTTTAGAGCACTGAAGCTTCAGGGAATTTGTCACAACCAGCCTGACAGGTGTCAGGCTAGTGCTGGCTTTGTCACTGTCTCTAAATTGAAGTTTTTCTACCCTAAACTGAGAGATGAGATAGTAATCTGGACAAAAATACAAGGCATCTTCTTTTTGTGTAGTTCCAGGAATTAAACCCAGGACTTCCACATGTTAGGCAGGCATGCTACAGTTGAATCATGTCCCAGCCCCTCACTGGGGTATTGGAGGCAGGGGTTCCACTGCTGAGCCCCACTTCCAACCCTGTGTAGTTCTCTGTCTCTTCCTTGGTCCGTCTACCTGAGGTAGATGGTCCACAAATCTCTAGCCTGTCCCCAGCCTTTCCCGTAGAAGTCTAACCTCCACACCCACCCTCGCTGGAAGCTATGGCATGCTTGTATGTCTTGCTTTGGCCATGACTTGAGAGTAGGAACTGAAGGTTCCTCCTGGGTGAAGCTCAAAAGGCTTGAGAATGGCTGTGCGGGAAGTGGGCCTGTGTTGTGACTGTGTCTCCTTCATGTTTTCATGTGTTGGAAACTTAACCCCCACAGTCACATTGTTGGTATCTCCAGCTGGAGCTTTAATGGAGTAATAATTGGGCTGGGCAGGAGGATCACAGTAAGTCCTGGAACAGCTTGGGCTACACAGTAAGTTCCAATTCAGCCAGGGTTAGTCAAACTTACTCTTTTTTCAGAGTCTTATTATGTATACTATGTAGCCCTAGCCTGGAACAAGATATAGACAAGGCTGCCCTCAAATTCAAGGAGACCCTCCTACCCTGCCTCTGGCATTAGTGTGTGCTACCACCCCCAGCAAGACTGTCTCAAAAACTTTTATTATTATTATTATTATTATTTTGGTTTTTCAAGACAGGGTTTCTCTGTGTAGCTTTGGAGCCTATCCTGGAACTCGCTCTGGAGACCAGGCTGGCCTC